GTGTCTCCCTACTGGTCCATGCTGGAGTTCGTTTGCGATTTTGGGGGGACTGCATGGTACCTATGCTGCTGAGCTCTCCACGCTGACCAAACAGGAAATGAAATTCAAAATTTCCTGGGGCTTTTACTGTGTACCTGGGTAGTGCATCGGTGTTCAAAGTGCTGTCCAGAGCGGTCACGTTGGAGCACTCTGGGATAGCTCCCGGAAGCCAGTACCGTCGAATTGCGTCTGCACTACCCCAAATTTGTCCCAGCAAGGTCGATTTTTAGCACTACTCCCCTTGCCGGGGAGGAGTACAGAAGTCGATTTGAAGAGCCCTTTAGGTCGACGGAACGGGGTTGGTTGTGTAGATGCATTCATTTTAAAATCGACGTAATGCGGCTAAATTCGACCTAACCCCATAGTGTAGACCAGGGCTTAGAAAGGTGTTCTTAAATGATTCTTCCTCACAGCTCCAGGCCGAATCGCAACTTCAAAGTACTGTCTGTATAGCTATTTTTAGAGCACTAGTGCGAGCCCTGCTAGCCCAAATTTGTTGACCCAGGTGTGAGGCTTGCTCCCACTCACTCCAAAATGCTGTTCAGACATATCCGAAGAGATAACAGAAGAAACAGGCTATTGAGAAATCCAGGCAAAAACTCCTTGAGTCTAGATTGTAAGCTGTTTGGGTCGTGGACTGTCTTTTTGTTCTGTATTTCTACAGCACCTAGCATAATGGGGTCCTGGTCCATGAGCAGGGCTCCCATGTCGTGTGGTAATACAAATAATTAAATAATGAACTAATTTGTTAGATAACACCCTTGTCCTAACAGATAAAGAACTGATTACAGATTTGGTTTCATTTTAATCAAATAAAAATTAATGGTAATTTAGGTACAAGTGATCATCGCTTGATCCGCCCCACCCAACTCTATAGGCTTTGGAGCCTGAGCTCCAGCCCAAGCCACAACTGCAAAGCTCTATCTACAGAACTATTTTTAGAGCACAAGTGTGAGCCTTGCTAGCCTGAGTCTGTCAAGCCGGGATAGGAGGCTTGCTCTCACGTACTCCAAAATACTGTGTAGACATATCCTTTCTTTTGCACCCTCAGGATGCCAATAGTATGAATCAAATTTTCATCTGATCCACACAAAGCATTGTGTTTCTTCCCTCCATGCATCTTGGAAAACCTGTTCTCATTATGGAAGTGTAGCCCATGGTTTTATTGTTAAGTTTGGTTTAAGTTTTAAACTAATAGCAAACCTCTTCATTATGTATGCAGAATACAGCGGTATCTTGTCCAAATTTATAGCACTTACTCTTTGAGTACAGAAGGAATTGCTGAGAATTTTCAAGTAAATCCTGTCTTTTTATTTGTGTTAAAATTCATTTTAAAATGGGTCCTTCATGAAATTTAGTACTTAGTGTCAGACCATTACTCTCCGCTGAAGTGATATCATGAGGGGGAAAATGAAAAAAAAAGCGTCTTCAAAATCAGTTTTATCTAATCTGGGAACACAAACACTAAAATGCATTAATCATAATTGTATGTTTATAGCATGGCATCACTACAGGGCAGAGTTAAGATTATTTGAGGGCCTTAATTCTAGAGCGGGGCAGGAAACAGTTTCAGTTTTGATGAATTGGTACTTTTTGACAAAAAAAAGATTAGTCGAAAAATTCCTGACCAGCTCTACTTAACTCTGCCTTTCTTTTAATTATATCCTGACCTCTGAATTTTCAGGACTTACGATTATTTTTTTAAAGTAGCATTGTATTAGCTTTAATAAAGCTAGCACAAGTAACAGTAGTGTAGATATGGTAGTACGCGCTAGCTGCACAACTACAAGCCCAGTGGGGAGCTGGGATACATACTCAGGTTGCTAGCCTGGGCCAACGTATCCACATGACTATTGTTACCTGTGCTAGAGCTAGATTAAAGTTAGCATGGGTAAACCTAATTGTGCTACAATCACGCCTTCACTTGTGCCCCAGATCTCCATCTGCAAAAAGGGGATAATAGTACTCCCCTACCTCATAGGGTGTTGGAAGAATAAATCCATTAACGATTGGGAGGCACTCAGATACTACAGTAATGGAAGCTGTATAAGTAGTTACAATCTTCACTTATAGTGTAGACATACCCTAAGTAACTTTCCCAAGGTCACGTGGGAAGGTTATGGAAAAGTAAGGAATTAAACTGAGGTCTCACAGATCCTATGCTAGCACCCTAATCAAATTGGTGGACTCCTTCTCCTCTCCTGCAAACCCACACTTATGTACTTATGCAGGGCTGGATACAATATTTCCCCTTAGTGTTCGAGCTCCTGTTAAAGCCTGATCCTGCAAGATGTTGCATACACTCAATTCCTGTTGCCTGTTGGTGTCATTTTTACTGGAATTTTTTTCAGTCTACTCGATGTTAGCCTTGATTAGATTTTGGAAGCAGCAAAAACAAAGATACCAAGCTTCAGAACTTTTTACAAAAGTGGAATCTGGGATTGAAACTTAGAGATCTTATGTTCTGAATGAGATTGCAGAGTGGAAAGATCTGCAGTACTCATATATGTTTTTATCAATAGCTTGACTCACTTGTATGGCATGAATACTTCTTGTCTACTTGATAATTTTGGGCACATGATTGTTTTACAATTGGGAGAACTACCTGAGAGACTGGTATGGATTTTTGACAAGATCCATTCACCGGATTCTTGTTATGGTTAAAAGGAGAGTAGCACATCCAGATTTCTGTTATTAATATGTTGACAGCAAGTTACCGAAGCTAATAAAAAACTGTAAACTTTTCTCAAAAAATAAAGGAGTACTTGTGGCACTTTAGAGACTAACAAATTTATTTGAGCATAAGCTTCGTGAGCTACAGCTCACTTCATTGGATGCACGAAAGCTTATGCTCAAATAAATTTGTTAGTCTCTAAGGTGCCACAAGTACTCCTTTTCTTTTTGCGAATACAAACTAACACGGCTGCTACTCTGAAACCTGTAAACTTTTCTGTTGCAGTAGCAATGTAGATAAGATCCTGTAATAGGGAGTTGACAGTTTTGAAAGAATATGTACTGCAGTAAAGATCTAAAAATAAGAAAGCACAAGGAAAATTCAGATTGCCATCTGCATATTTCCTGTGTTAACAGCATTGCCAACTTTTGTTTAACAAACAGATCATCCCAATGTAAAATTACTAAGAAAAAATAGTAAATTGGGCATATGCCTCAAGTCATTTGATCAAACAGCATATACAAACTTATAAGAAAAAGAATTCAATTCTTACAGTGATTTCTACTACTGTGTACTACTGCAAGAACCAGTAACATTGATATTAACAATAAGAAAAAAGGAGAATGCACATTAGGACAGGAGAAATTAGAAATCCATCCACAGTTTAGCTGGGGGTGGGGATCCCAGGGAACAAGGGGAATAAACCTGAAGCTATAGAAAGAATAACCATCCAAACGTATTTGAAGGAAGTAAGATATAGTCCTATCAATCCTCTTTTTTTTTGTCTCGAACACTTAGGGAAGTAGACACATTTTTCCCAAAAGGCGCTATGTTGAGTTGGTAGCCCAGAAAATGTACACATTTTCAACATGAGCAACTCAGAGCTTTGCTGGGAATCACAGCATTTCCGTCCCATCCAATCCAACTTCTCTCTTGAGGGCTCGGATCAGGAAAAATCAGGATTTTAGAACCTTTATAGGTAAAGTCAGCTGCTGCTTTCAGGATTTTTTTTTTCCCAGATGTTAGACAGGGAGATGATAATGATGGCATTCCCTATATTGTCCTTATTTTATGGTTAGCGCATAGGTCCTTTTGTTAGACATGGCTTCCTAGAAGATTAGATAGTTCTTTTACAACTTGGGCTTCAGGCTCAAAGTTATTTAGGAATCCTACAAGTCAATATTCTGAGTGTTCACCTGTTTTTCTAGTATTTCCAACCTTCTTTCCATTGCAGACTTATGATTAACAACAAATTTTTCAAGTCTGGATGATTCTTCTGCTGCTTTTACCCTCTTAGTGCCTGATTCTGATCTCATTTACGCTAGTATCAATCAGGAGCAATGCCATTGACATCCACAGAGTTACATTAGTGTAAAATTGGTGTAAGAGAGAGCACAATCAGGTGCTCTCAATCTGCACATGGTTCAACCATGTTCACCTGTTCCATGGTTCAGTGGTTATCACTTTTTCTGTGTGCTACACCCTAAGATGTCTCAGTGTCAGGGATTCCCTGGGTGGCATAAAGCCAGCACAGCAGCCCTCTTCCATTCCCTCTCAGTTCCCCCATCCCTGGGGCAGAGGATGATTGAGTTGGCTCACAAGGTAGTTTTGAGCTGCTACATTTTAAAGTATGTCTCCGCTGCAATGGCCTCCCAAGGGTCCCTTCACCTGCCAGAGATTTCTGGAGCTCAGCCTGTTTTGACCATGTTTCCCACCTGCCCCCAACATACAATGAGCACTGAGAGGGGATGGAAGAGGGCTGCTGTGTTGGCTTAATGCCATCCAGGGAAGTCTACCAGAAAAAATATATCAGTTATCGCTTTATGCACTATAGTCCGCATTTTACAGAGCTAGAGGGTTAAGGACTTGATTTTTCAGAGGTGCTGAGCATCTGCAGATCTTCTTGACTGGAAATGGAGTTGCAGATGTTCAGCATCTTTAAAAATCAGGCCATAAGTCTTTTGCTCTAGGCCTCAGAAGGAATCCATGTCTGAGCTGTCATGAGAACTCAGGAGTGTCTGGCTCTTTGTCATCTGTTCATGCTGTGCCTTCCTCAACTCCACCCAATGAATGAAATGTATTACTGGTATCAGAGTATTTTTCAGGTTAGGTGCATTTATATACTGTAATTCAGAGTTGTACAAACAATCACTGTTGTGTTTTCTAACATTTTATTCACGTACTTTTTGAGCTAAAATATTGATTTGGTTTGTAAATACCTTAAGTTTAAAAAATATATATTTGGCTTTAAAGTAATAGAGATTTTCCCCCACCCCAATTTAACTAGTGCTGTTGCTGAAGCTGAAGGAATCGAGCCATTAATAAACGTCCTGAGTGCTAAGAGAGATGGGACTATTGCTAATGCAGCTACAGTACTAACAAATATGGCCACGCAAGAGCCATTACGTTTCAGCATCCAGAGTCGTGGTGTTATGAATGCAATTGTAGAACCACTACAGTCTACCAACAGCCTGGTACAAAGCAAAGCAGCACTCACTGTGGCTGCCCTTGGTTGTGACGCTGATGCAAGAACTGAAGTAAGTCTTACGTTACCTTTTATCTGCTCTGTGGATATTTATTATATTTACTTTTTTAAAATAAAACTGATGTTTGTGTTTTGCTGACTCTGGGACCAACACAATTTAATATGTGTGTCTGAAAAAAATCCTTTATTTTATATAGAGTAAATCAACTTGTGTCTCCTTAATAGATAAATTCTCATTCAGATAGAATCATAGAATATCAGGATTGGAAGGGACCCCAGGAGGTCATCTAGTCCAACCCCCTGCTCAAAAGCAGGACCAATTCCCAATTAAATCATCCCAGTCAGGGCTTTGTCAAGCCTGACCTTAAAAACTTCTAAGGAAGGAGATTCCACCACCTCCCTAGGCAACGCATTCCAGTGTTTCACCACCCTCCTAGTGAAAAAGTTTTTCCTAATATCCAACCTAAACCTCCCCCACTGCAACTTGAGACCATTACTCCTTGTCCTGTTCTCTTCTACCACTGAGAATAGTCTAGAACCATCCTCTCTGGAACCACCTCTCAGGTAGTTGAAAGCAGCTATCAAATCCCCCCTCATTCTTCTCTTCTGCAGACTAAACAATCCCAGTTCCGTCAGCCTCTCGTCATAAGTCATGTGTTTCAGACCCCTAATCATTTTTGTTGCCCTTCGCTGGACTCTTTCCAATTTATCCACATCCTTCTTGTAGTGTGGGGCCCAAAACTGGACACAGTACTCCAGATGAGGCCTCACCAATGTCGAATAGAGGGGGACGATCACGTCCCTCGATCTGCTCGCTATGCCCCTACTTATACATCCCAAAATGCCATTGGCCTTCTTGGCAACAAGGGCACACTGCTGACTCATATCCAGCTTCTCGTCCACTGTCACCCCTAGGTCCTTTTCCGCAGAACTGCTGCCTAGCTATTCGGTCCCTAGTCTGTAGCTGTGCATTGGGTTCTTCCGTCCTAAGTGCAGGACCCTGCACTTATCCTTATTGAACCTCATCAGATTTCTTTTGGCCCAATCCTCCAATTTGTCTAGGTCCCTCTGTATCCTATCCCTGCCCTCCAGCGTATCTACCACTCCTCCTAGTTTAGTATCATCCGCAAATTTGCTGAGAGTGCAATCCACACCATCCTCCAGATCATTTATGAAGATATTGAACAAAACCGGCCCCAGGACTGACCCCTGGGGCACTCCACTTGACACCGGCTGCCAACTAGACATGGAGCCATTGATCACTACCCGTTGAGCCCGACAATCTAGCCAACTTTCTACCCACCTTATAGTGCATTCACCCAGCCCGTACTTCTTTAATTGGCTGACAAGAATACTGTGGGAGACCGTGTCAAAAGCTTTGCTAAAGTCAAGAAACAATACATCCACTTAGTTAAATAATAGTTAGATAAACTTAGTTCAGTTTGGCATGAGCACTCGGAAAAACTGAAATATAGAGGACCCTCTGTAATCTTCATTTCATTGCTGTAGATATACATAAACTGAATGGGCCAAGTTCATCTCTGGTGAAGCTCCAATTATTTCAGTGAGCTTTCACGCCCTATGAAACTTCAGAAACATTTAAAATTAATTTATCCCCCCAAAAGGACCTTTTTGAAGCTCAGAAGCTTCCCTTATTGTTCTTTTACTATCCGTCTTCAGGCCCTTGTGGCACAGTGATTAACCCTCTATTAAGAGAGTTGGACATGACTCTTGTAAACATAATTCATGGAGAAGATCATTAATCCTTTGGTCAATGGAACCCAGTAAGTGAACCTGTGCCTACTTATTTATCAATGGCTGTGTTTTGACTCTTCTTGCACATACACACCCCATAAATAGAAAACCTTCTCAAGGGTCAAGACAGCTGGTCAGGTCAGGAAATATGGGGCATGGGCTTATCCATTTATCCGTATCTACATACTGAGAACATATTTACCCCTGAAAATTGGAATGACGGATATTTCCATGAGTATTTGGAAAAAGTACTGGAGCACCCCAGGAGAAAGGATGTTAATGAGACTATGGCATACATACAAGGCAACACAAATTCATATATATTGTGATGTAAATTAGTTGCCAGGATGCATCAGAACTCTGAGAATGTTTTACAGCTCTCCATGGCAACCTTGGGATGTACATTCTGTACAATTTTTAGAATGTAATCTAATAGTTGACAAAGACACCGCCAATAGAATGGGTATGTGTATTTTTCCAGCCCACCCTTAAGCTTCTTTTTCTATTTGGAGTGTGCAATAGATGCAGAAAGCTTGTATGTGGACATTCTGCCAGTCCGTTCCATCCACCTGCATAGCTTCTCTTCAGGACTTGAGAGTTTCAGAGGGGTTTGCACAGACCTTCCTCAGTGGGTTGAATGTAACTCTACATGAGCAATGTTTTTATATTTGTTTTTAGTTAAGAAATGCAGGTGGACTTGAACCACTCGTTAAACTGCTACATTCTAAGAATGATGAAGTCAGAAGAAATGCCTGTTGGGCTGTTATGGTTTGTGCAAGCGATGAACTAACAGCAGTTGAACTTTGCAGGCTAGGGTGAGTAGAAGTAGTATCAGGGCTTAGCGGGCATGGTTTGGATGAAGATGCTAACAAAGCTGTTGTTTGTATATTTTTGATTTTATACCAAAGTTAATTGTGCATTTCTTAAAATTAAATTAGTTTCACGATGTGACATTTATTTCAGAAGGAAAGTTATAGATTCTACATGTCAACTATACTAGAAGAAAATAGCTTGAAATGGGGCCTGACTGCCTGAATTTACGGAAGCATTCTCAGTATTGTTACTATGATGGAACTTAACAAAACTATGTTTAACGTTAAAGGTGAACTTATAGCAACAAAATTTAGGGGCCACCATGTAAAGGCCATATACAATTGAGATTAACACTATGGGCCAAATTCAGCCCAGATGTGAGGAAGTGCAATCCCATTGGGGTCAACAGGATTTTTATATATTGAGATGTGTACAAAAAAAGTGCCTATCCAGGGTTCTGAGTGCCTTTGTCATACATAAAATACAATCAAGCAAATACCAACAAAATAAATGTAACAGTCTCCCCAGACCTAGGAAGGGAAAAATACCCACCCCAACTACAAACCAAATGATGAAAACCAAACCCTAAAACTCCACCCAGAAACCAACAGGCAGCCATTGCCTCTCACATGGAACACTACTGTAATGTGCTTCTGATGAGAAACTCCACCTAACCAATGAGATACAACATTCTGCGTGAGCTGCAGTTCCAGGTTGATTTAAGGTGTAACCCCACATAGAGTGTACCAGGGTAAATTTAATCTCAAAGGGACAATGGTACAGATCACAATAAGGTTGCATTTAAATGGTTTCAATTGCCTGATGGACATAGATGAAAAATACTGTTCTGATCACTTCAGGTATATATTCTTCTAATAGCAGCTGCAGTAATCCCAGACTTCAAATTCTGGCAATGAATGAAGGGCAGATATTGTTTTTGTTATATCTTCCTACTACATGTCCCATATTACCAGCAGAATTGCTTCTGTCTTACTTGGACTGAGCATCAGCCAGTTAGCCCTCATCTTCGTCCCATTCTCAGCCAAATGCGTGGTAAGGAAGTTGATAGTACTGACTGGGCAGATGAAATAGACATATAAGGCCTTATCCAAATGAAAATACTTCCATTGACCAAATAGGCTTTGGATCAGGCACATTAAACTGAGTGTCATCAGTATACAATACTGTAGGCAAACCTCCTTAAATCTCCTAATATATCCACATTGAAGAGGAAAGTGGGGCAAGAATTCCCCATCAGAAAATCAATGGGGCAGAAAAACAATTTCCCACAGTTAACACCTTGAACCTCCCTGATACGTGGGAATGAAGCTACTGAAGAGCAGCTGTGTTTACTCCTGCTAGGTGAGTGAACAACAACTCATGGTCAACAATATTGAAAGTCTGTGCACAGATTGGTAAAGGCCAGGGCAATATGAAGTGTCTAATTACTCAGAGAGCTGTCTTTCTATGACCTTCATGATAATTTTTACAAAAAATGGAAGATTACTGGACAGTAGTTGGACAGCTTGTCAGCTCAAGTGCCATTAACAAGTAATGGTGGACAACGGCTTTCCATATAAAAGCCAGCAACCTGCCTTTCCTAAGGGAGGCATTGATCATCTCAATCAACAATGTATCCAGTTCTTCCCTGGTGTTCAGCAGGCAGGAAGGACATAGGTCTGAAGCACAGGTTGTGGCTTGAAGAATTCCCAGTACTTCTAGTACCTCAGTGAGCATCACAGGCCTAAATTTAACCTGAGACGTTTGTACCTACTAGATATCATCCTGCACCCACAAAGCAGGCAGTTCAGTCTGAATATGTTTGATTTTTCTCTGCAAAGACACTTGCAATTTCTTCAGTGGTTGTCACTTGTACCAGACACTGTGCAAAACCAGCCTGGATTGGTCAGGTTACAGTATGCTGCTTAGGTCAAATCTGCTGATAAAACATAGCAGACTCTGTGGTAGAAACAGAGAAACTCCTCTTTCACACACCATAAAATTTCAAAAATCCTTTATTGCACAATTGGTGAGATTAAGCACAAGGCTTTCCCCATCAGCACGCTGACCATTTTCCATCTCATTTTAGTGGTCACAAGTCATCTGTAAAGAATGGATTTGCACAGATTACACAAAGGCTGAATTTTGCTTCCAGGTACTGAGGCCTGGTCTACACTACGAGTTTATGTTGGATTTAGCAGCGTTAAATCTGAATTAACCCTGCACCCGTCCACACAACGAAGCCATTTTTCGTCATAAAGGGCTCTTAAAACCGATTTCTGTACTCCTCCCCAACGAGGGGATTAGCGCTGAAATTGACATCGCCGATTCGAATTAGGGTTAGTGTGGATGCAATTCAAAGGTATTGGCTTCCGAGAGCTCTCCCACAGTGCACCATTGTGACCGCTCTGGACAGCACTCTGAACTTGGATGCACTGGCCAGGTGTATAGGAAAAGCCCGGGGAACTTTTGAATCTCATTTCCTGTTTGGCCAGGCGAGCTCATCAGCACAGGTGACCATGCAGTCCCAGAATCAAAAAAGAGCTCCAGCGTGGACCGAACGGGAGGTACTGGATCTGATCGCTGTATGGGGAGAGGAATCCGTGCTATCAGAACTACGTTCCAAAAGATGAAATGCCAAAACATTTCAAAAAATCTCAGAGGCCATGAGGGACAGAGGCTACGTCAGAGATGCAACACAGTGCCGTGTGAAACTTAAGGAGCTCAGACAAGCATACCAGAAAACCAAAGTATCAAACGGATGTTCCGGGACAGAGCCCTAGACATACCGCTTCTATGCTGAGCTGCATACAATGCTAGGGGGGGCCGCCACCACTACCCCACCCCTGTCCGTGGACTCTGATGACGGGGTACTCTCCGCCATGGGTGAGGATTTTGCAGATGAGGAGGAGGAAGATGAGCTTGGGCAGAGCACACAGCACACCGTTCTCCCCGACAGCCAGGATCTTTTTATCACCCTGACTGAAATACCCTCCCAACCCAACAAAGCCAGAGAAGGGACCTCTGGTGAGTGTACCTTTTTAAATATAATACATGTTATAAAAGCAAGCGTTTTTTAATGATTAAGTAGCCCTGAGATCTTGGGATGCATTCGTGGCCAGTACTGCTACTGGAAAAGTCTGTTAAAGTGTCTGGGGATGGAGCGGAAATCCTCCAGGGACATCTCCGTGAAGCTCTCCTGGAGGTACTCTAAAAGCCTTTGCAGAAGGTTTCTGGGGAGAGCAGCCTTATTCCGTCCTCCATGGTAGGACACTTTACCACGCCATGCTAGTAGCAAGTAATCTGGTATCACTGCATGACAAAGCCTGGCAGCGTCTGGTCTCGGTGTTTGCTGGCATTCAAGCAACATCCGTTCTTTATCTCTATGTGTTATCCTCAGGAGAGTGATATCGTTCATGGTAACCTGGTTAAAATAGGGGAATTTGATTAAGGGGACATTCAGAGGTGGCCGTTCCTACTGGGCTGTTTGCCTGTGGCTGAAAAGAAATCCTCCCTGCAGTTAGCCACGCAGTGGGGGGGCCATTGGCGCTGAGCTGTTCGCATTTGGCTAGCAGGGATCTTCCCTGATACCAGCCAGGCGGTGGGGGGAGAGGAAAAGTGATCATCCCAGAGAATTGGATGGGGGTGGGGGGTTAGTTTGGTTTCTGCTGCTGCACGTTAACAGGAAAACTGCAGCACTACATGGCGAACTCAACGGGCTTTCCTTGTATGGGAAAGGAGGGGGCTGCTGTTATGAAGGTTATAGAAGCCGAAAGACTATGGCTTACCATGGCCGCCTGCAAGCCGAATTCTGTTGCCCAGCCCTGTGTGTGTGATCTCTAGCACCAGAGCCGCAGGCACTCAGTATAAGATGCAAAATGCAACCTTGTACCAAAATCACATGTGCTTTGTAATGTGAATAGTGTTGTTTACCGGGAAAGAGTATAGCCATTGTTCTGTAAAATGTATCTTTTTAAATACTTCACTCCCTTTTTTTCCTCCAGCAGCTGCAAATGTTTCAAGCCTCCCTCCTCTGTCCCAAAGGCTATCTCAGATAAGGCAGCCAAAAAAACGCACGCGCAATGAAATGTTCTCTGAGCACATGCCATCGTCCGGCACTGACAGAGCTGTGTGGAGGGACACAATAGCAGAGTACAGGACAGTGACCGATGAACGTGAGGAGAGGTGGCGGCAGGAAGATCAGAAGAGGCATGAGGAAATGCTGGGGCTACTGCGGGATCAAACGGACATGCTTCAGCGTCTGGTGGAGGTTCATGAACAGAAGCAGGATCACAGACTGCTGCTGCAGCCCCTGCTTAACCACCCTCCGTCCTCCCCAAGTTCCATAGCCTCCTCACCCAGATGCCCAAGAACGCAGGGGTGGGAGGCTCCAGGCACCCAACCACTCCACCCCAGTGGACAGCCCAAGCAACAGAAAGCTGGCATTCAACAAGTTTTAAAGTGGCCTTTTCCTTCCCTCCTACCCTCCTCCCACACCCCACCTGGGCTACCTTGTGAGTTATCTCCCTATTTTTATAATCAATTAATAAAGAATACATGTTTTTTAAATTATAGTGACTTTACTTCCTTTGCAAGCAAACTGTGATCGAAGGCGGGAGGGTGGGTGGCTTACAGGGAATTAGAGTCAACCAAGGGGGTGGGTTTTCATCAAGGAGAAACAAACAGAAGTGTCACACAGTACCCTGGCCAGTCATGAAACTGGTTTTCAAAGCTTCTCTGATGTGCACCGCTTCTTGCTGTGCTCTTCTAACTGCCCTGGTGTCTGGCTGCGTGTATTCAGCAGCCAGGCGATTTACATCAACCTCCCACCCCACCATAAACGTCCCCCCTTACTCTCACAGAGATTGTGGAGCACACAACAAGCAGCAATAACAATGGGAATATTGGTTTCGCTGAGCGAGTCAGTAAACTGCGCCAGTGACCCTTTAAACGTCCAAATGCACACGCTTCCACCATTCTGCACTTGCTCAGCCTATAGTTGAACAGCTCCTGACTACTGTCCAGGCTGCCTGTGTACGGCTTCATGAGCCAGGGCATTAAGGGGTAGGCTGGGTCCCCAAGGATAACTATAGGCATTTCAACATCCCTAACAGTTATTTTCTGGTCAGGGAAGTAAATCCCTTCCTGCAGCCATTTAAACAGACCAGAGTTCCTGAAGACGCGAGCGTCATGAACCTTTCCCGGCCATCCCACGTTGATATTGGTGAAAAGTCCCTTGTGATCCACCAGTGCTTGCAGCACCATTGAAAAGTACCCCTTGCGGTTTATGTACTGGCTGCCTTGGTGCTCCGGTGCCAAGATAGGGATATGCGTTCCGTCTATAGCCCCACCACAGTTAGGGAATCCCATTGCAGCAAAGCCATCCAGTATGACCTGTATATTTCCCATAGTCACTACCTTTGATAGCAGCAGCTCAATGATTGCGTTGGCTACTTGCATCACAGCAACCCCCAGAGTAGATTTGCCCACTCCAAACTGATTACCGACTGACCGGTAGCTGTCTGGCGTTGCAAGCTTCCACAGGGCTATTGCCACTCGCTTGTGAGCTGTAAGGGCGGCTCTCATCTTGGTATTCTTGCGTTTCAGGGCAGGGGAAAGCAAGTCACAAAGTTCCATGAAAGTGACCTTAGGCATGTGAAAGTTTCGGAGCCACTGGGAATCATCCCAGACTTGCAACACTATGTGGTCCCACCACTCTGTGCTTGTTTCCCGGGCCCAGAATTGGCGTTCCACAGCATGAGCCTGCCCCATTAACACCATGATCTCCAAATTGCGGGGTAATGCGGTTTTAGAGAAAAGTGTGTTCAAGTCCTCATCACTGCACTGCCGTTGCCTCCTTGCCTGGTTTTTCAGGTGCTGGTTCTGCATACACTGCACGATAATGCGCGAGGTGTTTACAATTGTCATGACTCCTGCGGTGAGCTGAACGGGCTCCATGCTTGCTGTGCTATGGCATCTACTCCTGCTCGGGCAATCATGAGAAAAGGGCGCGAAACGATTGTTTGCCGTTGCTCTGGCGGAGGGAGGGGCGACTGACAACATGGCTTACAGGGTTGGCTTACAGGGAATTAAAATCAACAAAGGGGATGGCTGTGTGAGAAACAGAATGGCCCCCTCAAGGATAGAACTCAAAACCTCAAGGATAGAACTCAAAACTGGATTTAGCAGGCCGTTGATTTCACAGAGGGAGGGAGGACAAAATGAATACAAAACAAATCTGGTCTATTTCTTGTTTTGATCCACTTTGTCTATCTTTATACATCTTGCTGGCAGCAGACTGTGCAGTATGATCACTAGCTATCGTCATCTCCTGGGTGCTCGGCAGAAGACGGTGCAGTATGACTGCTGGCCATCGTCTTCTGCTGGCAGCAGATTAAAAGTGCACTGCTGGTAGGACTGAATCGCCATGAGATGAAACTTAAAAGGGAAGTGACCTGGGTGAGTCACTCCCATGTTCGCCCAGGCGCCCCTGACCTCATCGAGGTTGGTTAAAAGAGCACCCTGGACTACGTCGACAATGGCTAACAGTCATACTGCACTGTCTGCTGCCAAAAGCCAATAAACTGCTGCTGTGTAGCAATGCAGTACCGCGTCTGCCAGCACCCAGGAGATATATGGTGCCCAGGAGATATATGGTGACGGTTAGCTGTGCAGGCTCCATGCTTGCCGTGGTATGGAGTCTGCACAGGTAACTCAAGAAAAAAGGCGCAAAACGATTGTCTGCCCTTGCTTTCACGAGGCAGGGAGGGAAGGGGGGCCTGACGAAATGTACCCAGAACCACCCGCGACAATGTTTTAGCCCCATCAGGCACTGGGATTTCTACCCAGAATTCAAATGGGCGGCAGAGACTGCGGGAACTGTGGGGTAGCGACCCACAGTGCAACACTCTGGAAGTCGACGGTTGCCTCAATACTGTGGACACACTCCGCCAACTACATGCACTTAGAGCATTTGTGTGGGGACACGCACAATCGACTGTATAAAAACGCTTTCTACAAAACCAACTTCTATAAATTTGACCTAATTTCTTAGTGTAGACAAGGACTAAGTCAACGTAGTTGTGCTGAAACATCACAAAAATTAATGCCGTGCAAGATAATTACTCTTTTCTTCCTCTACATGGACTCTACAATCTCCATACATCAGCACCTGAGTTAGCTGTGTTAGCCTGCGAGGCTTATGGAAGAACCGTAACTCTTCTGTGGAATTGTACATTTGGTTATTTTGTACTATAAAATATACATAATACATAGTTAACTCACCAGGTTCTTATATGAGGTCAGATTATTCTTCTGTTTTCTCTACTTTTACACTCCCCTTATCTTCAAGATCTCTGACACAGTCAACATCTTTCTGACTGAGAACTAACTAGAACACCCCTTCGTCTTAATGCTCATATTTAACTGCCTAGAGGAATGGCTTTTGCTTCTGAGTAATATGAAGGATCTTTTTTCCTACAGAGACAGAATGCTGCACCCCATTCACAGCCTCCTGCTGGCCCAAGGGACGGGAGGCTAGGATTGAAAATAAACGTGTCTCCGGAATAGCAGTGCAGAGTACTATCTCTGCACTTTGTAGTAATTAATTAATTAGTACTTAATGATGGATTAGTCACATTAATTGAATAATTTTTTCTATTTTGTTGAACAGTGCTTTAGACATCCTGGAAGAAATTAACTTGTCAACAGGGCGCAAAAATAACTTCAGTGAAGGAGCTCTGGACAAGCTACTTGATAACAACCTTTCCCAAAAATACAGCCAGATGGGGTACTTATCATCCAGTAACATAATTACTGATGGGTTCTATGATTATGGTCAGGTAAATTACTTTAAGTATTATTTAAAAGTCTATGCAGGGCCTGACTTTTCACTCCTTCAGACAAAGTATTGGGTTTATGGCCCCATTATGCCACCACAATACAAAAGAGTCATAGCAGGGACCAGGATCTGGTCCCTTGAATCACCTTGCTCCCTTCTCCTGTCCTATGCTGTGCCAGCTTGGTGCACTTTGTCACTCTTTTGATCAGCTTCCCTGGCAAATGAATCCACATCTTTTCTCCTGCTGTCCCCATATCTGGAATCTTCCCACTGACCATAAGTGTTTTGCAACCACGGTCTCCTTTTTCAGATTCCTCCTGAGATACTTGGCTCCTCTCCTGCTCTTTTTCTCTACAATCTGTATAATAAAATGTCCTTCTCTCTGAAGCCTAATGTCTGCTGAGTCAGTGTGAAGCAATGGAAACAGCAACAAGCACGGTTAAGAGCTCTTCTTGTTCAGAATATCACCAGGTTCTGTCATCCCTGTGATTCATGGTCTGCTACTATACAGTTTTGAAGTTCACAGCCATTTTTACTTTACTAATTATACCTGTAAAATATTCAGCTACAGTAAGGCATGTATCTATGCCATGCCAAGAGTCCTCGACCATTGAGATATCAGAGGTAACTCAACCAGTCACCTCCCTTACTCTACAGTTAATTTACGTGGAACAATTCACTGATTGTGGGGGAAACTGCACAAATAGTGTATTACTTGACCCAACTGCCATATCCAAACACAGGCTTTTAGCTACTAGTATAATATATTAATCTGCCATCTAAATAACTATGTTGTTTTTTCACAAGAGGAACAAACAGGATGTGAATATAACAGAGACCAAAATGTGCTTCGTTACAGCCCTCTTTCCCATAAAATGGCCTTTCTAGAATGGCCACTCTATACTTTGTCATCTGTTGCTCTCTTAATTGTGGGTGGAATCCTCAAAAATATCCAAGTATGTTACGAGCACAAGTCCTATTGAAAGTCAGTGGGGTTTGTGCTCCTAAATCACTTGGGTGCTTTTAAAAATCCCACCCTGGATTGTATGAACCTGTCTTTATTCTGAACTTGTTTTGGATTATATACTAGTAGTAACAACAATTTCAAATGAAATTATTTGTAAAGCAGCTTTTCAATGGCAGGTAAGTGAAGAAGCAATTGATTTTTATGTATTTTATTTTTAAAAGTGTTTGTAATTTTAAGTCCTCAGCTACATTCTGTTAAAGATTCGGAATCTTAAATGATTCTTTTTAACCTTACTTTTTCAAAATAAGCTTTTTTATTCACCTTTAATAGAATAAAATTTCTTTTCTGTTATTCTAATTTTCCTGTAGGTAAAGCCTGGAGTGAAACTTTTGTCTTTGGAGGAACTGAATTTACAAGAACTTAATGATCATCGTGCTATAATTTTAGTTAATGCTAAACTACCAGATGTGTGAGTCAGATTTGCTTTGGAAAGATTACATTTCATTAAAATAACTTGCCTTTTCCCCCTCTGCATTCTCATAGCCCAATAGTACTGCAACTTTGACCTTCTATTGTGAGTGAGATCTTTCTAGGTTAACCTTAACATTGTGATTCCTTTTTCAGGAGCCAAAGGTTTTACATTTTATAAACTCCGAGTTTTGATATATTTTTCTTTAAACGGCACAGAACTGTTCAGTTGAGTTGGTTACATTTAGAAAAGTGAGCCAGGAAAAATTTTCAATTTAGCTCCGACTCTCGATGGAGGGGCTCCCAAGGATTTAGGAGAGCATGCCATCTGCATTGATTACCGGGCTCTCAAAGCTTAGTACCTGTCTCAGAATTGCAATGAGTCCCATGAATTTGCTGAACTTCTTCCCCAACCAAATTCATGAGGTTTAAAGCAGTATATTCCCAAAAACAAGAAACAGCCAAGCTTCATACTCTTTAGTGGCCTTCTACATTTGTGGTGCAGTACTATCAAGAACTGATGTCTACCTCTTTCCTACTTAAATTTAAGACCACCTAACAAACCCTGTTACCTTTGAATGCAGGAAATTGGTACTCTGGAAATCATTTAATCTATACAGTCTCCCAGATTAGAGAAGGCGCTGTAAATATTTTGTAAATCCCAAACCCTCCTTTCTGCTGTCATCAAGTTGATCTCTGTTATCATGTTTCCCTTTTTAACTTGTACATGATATAAAGATCTCTGAGATCACCTGTTACAACCTAAACCTCAGTGCTCTTTGCAGGTCCCTAATTCTTTCAAATATTCTTTATTTGCCATTCTTGTCACAACCCCGTGCCCTGGTAGCATCCTGAAGGCAATATACTGTCCAGTTTTCTTTATGTGGGTCACAGGATTTTTCACTATTTAGTAATTAATCAAGATCACTAATTACAGGTTGAACCTCTCTAGTCTGGCACCCTCGGGACCTGACCGGTGCCGAACCAGAGAATTTGCCGAACCACAGGAGGTCAATATTGTAGCAAGTGGGTCTCTTCTTATTTTTATCTCGCCAAGGCAAATAAACAGAACAGCGCTTTTAACACCGCCTAGCCAAGGCTTTCTGGCTTGCTTCATAACAAAGTGTTAGTGTTGCTACACAATTTTACTGTATTGACATAAGGAAATAAGTAGATAAAGCATAAAAAGCATAAAATAAAATCATGCTGGACCACAGATGTCGCTGGACTAGAGAGGTTCAACCTGTAATATTTTATTTCTCATAAAATATACTTGCTGTGCTTTGAAGGTGGCACAACTCTCTTGGCCTGTTCTAACAGAATAAAAATATCTTGTATCATTTCAGTTCCTTCAGTGCAGAGGACAAATCACAAGATCGATATGATGGAAGAACCACATCTTCTTCTTCTTCTATTAGAAAAAGTAGTAAAGAAAGAGCAAGGTATGACCTTTGGTTTAATTAACAGTCATTGCACTGTGATTGAGCAAACAGTCACAGTTTCAGGGTAACTGCACCTGTATCCCTCCATCCGTGACAGTGCCCAGTCAGGTCTCAGGTTTTCACCCATCGCCTATCCCACTCGCCTCTGACTGGGTGTTTTAAGTTTGCACTGCTCTCTGCCTTACACTGTGATATCCCCAGCAAGCCAGTCCACCGAATGGCCAGCAGCACTTGTGCTTTGATTTTTCTCTGAGGGCTGTGAACAGTGTATTTTTAGCAGTTACAAGTTACCACAAAACTCTTTCTAGGAAAGCACATTTATTCTTAAGGTAAAAGCCTTACAGAGAAAATGTAATGAAAACAATAAACAGATTAAAACCCTCTAAATGTGCAAGGAATCACCCATCAGTCTTATAGGGCCCTAGTAAACCAAAGTCTTTTCAATGGTTCTGCAAGGGTTGGGGCCTGCTGTCCATTTGCTGGATCAGAAAGAAGACTCTGAGTCAGTTTAAACCCAGCTTTTTTATATCAAAAGCCCTTTGTCTGTTGATCTCTGGAAATCCCAGTTTGAACCAGTAGATGCAAGCCTCTCCAGGGGATGGTACCTCTCTGGAGGTGTTTACAACCTGAGTGATTCACCTGAATTACCTCACCCCCCACACACTGTTCTTTGTTCCTGGAGGCAACCCTCCCCACCCCACAGAGTTGCATACAATCCCTGGCCCACACTGACACACAAACCATTCATAAACCTAATACAATCTGCTTCCCCAAAGATACAGCATGTGGTTGCAATATCCATCACACAAGCATCTAAATTCAGACAAGGCTTACATACTGACTGACTTTTAAACAAAACTATTTTTAATGGAATGGAAACAATCTCTAAATATATAGGAATGTTTTAAGACACTTTGTCTATTAAAAATATAATTTCAATTGAAATGGGTGAGGGACAGTTTCCTAAGAGAATAAAAATGATTAAATGTAATTTTAAGTTTTTGTTTCCAATTTCTTTTTCACCTCATAATTACAGAAATATCTACCTATCTGTCTGTCTAGCTGAGAGACAAGGTAAGTGAGATAATGTCTTTTATTGGGCCAACTTCTGTTTGTGAGAGAGGCACTTTCAGATTAATCAGAGCTCTTCTTCAGGTCTTGCATATACCTGAAAAAGAGCTTGGTGTAATCTTGAAAGCTTGTCTCTCTCACCAACAGAAGGTGGTCCAATAAAAGATATCATCTCACTCACCTTGTCGAGCTAATATCCTGGGATCAACCTGGCTACAACACTGCATATCTGTCTATCTAATCTATCATACTTATCTGTCCCCCAATACCATTGTATCCAAACATCTTATAATCTTTAATGTATTTATCCTCACAACACCCTGGTAAGTAGGGAAGTGCTATTATGCCAGATAGGGGATTGAGGTACAGAGAGACTAAGAGTAAAATTTTCAAAAGTGACTTCAGTACTTAGGATTCAAGACCCACTTACTTTCAGTTGTTCCTGAATTACTTTTGAAAATGGGACTTGGGACACAATTTTTAAAAAGCACTCAAGTGTCTTAGAAGTCTAAGTGACTTGCCAAAGGACACACAAGACATCTGTGGCAGAGAAGGAAATTCTCTGTCTCCTTTTCTTTATCTTTTACATAAATCCCATCCCTGCTGGGGTTGGGGCCCAGTCAATTCCCCGTGGAGTTGCAAGGCTGGTGTGGGGAGGGATTCTAAAAGTGTAGCACAGACTCTGTGTCAGCCAGGAGTAGCAACTGCCTACTGACCCTCTCCCCACTCTGACTTTGAATGGAGCGGGAGAGAAAAATAACTTTGCTGCCTCCCCTCCCTGGTTTCTAGGAAAGGTAGAGGTTTCTACAACACCGACTAGGAACAGAGATATCCCTTCTGGTTCCTCTTTGCTGTGAGGAAGGAGAGAGAGGAACCATAGTCCCAACTCAGGGATTAGGAGCTTCAATTTGTCAGCTGAAGTTCCCTACTTCCCAGAGACTAGGAAGATGCACCTGCATCCTGCTTGCCTGCTAAAGTTGAGGTGCCTTATGGATATGTGGGAGGTGCCTTTTCTATTTATGTGCAGGGGTTCAGAATAGCTGAGGCACCTTTGTACAGATGACTTCCTGCAGCACTGCATGGATTGTGGGAACAGAGAGAAATAGATTTTGGTGGGGGATACATGGAATGAGAAGACATTGGAAAGGAGTAGAGGTTGTGGAGGAATATTTCCAGTTTTTTCTTGGGGATCTTCCACAAATCATGGCACCCCTACACTCCATGTAAGAATTTTATTGCTAGAGATGGTGATTCTTAATGTTGCCTATGTGCTGCTTTGTGTGTGTGTAAATTGAAATTTACTGTAAGGAAGTAAAAAGGATTTGGGAAACTACTTTGTAATTTCAGTAGTGCAGTGGTATCTCCTGTGGAGGAAAAACAAGAATCTTCTGGACGATCTCCTTCTTCTCTCAGCAAAAGCAGCACTAGAGAGAAAGGCTCAAGGTATTATAATTTGGATGGAGTATTTTTATTTTAATTTAGAGTTAAAATGCAAGCTATTGATAGTAAGTATTGACTGTTGAAAGCTAAGGACTTGATTCTCAGGTCTGGCTGAGCTCTGCTTGGTGCAGAACCCAAAGTAGGGCTCAAAGGTGACTGTACCTCCATGAAGAAAAAAAGTCTATTAGTATATAGCTCTTTATCTAGTAGACAAAGATATAACAAGATCCAAGGGCTGGGAGCTGAAGCTAGACAAAACCAGACTAAAAATAAGGCAGACATTTTTAACAGTGGGGGTAATTAACCATTGGGACAGCTTAATTAGAGAGGTGGTGAATTTTCCAGCACTTGAATGATTGTGTTTCTAAAAGATATGTTCTAGCTCACCCAGAAGTTATGGGCTTGATGCAGGAACTACTGAGTGAAAATGTATGGTCTGTGCTGTACAAAAGGTCAGACTAAATTATCAGAATGGTCCCTTCTGGCCTTAATATTTACGAGGAGGGCTACCAGTTAATACCATAATCCTTAATAAGGCAAAAGAAAAGTATTCAAACCTTTCTGGAGAGAGGAGTCCTTGAATAAGGCTACTGGTACATGGCTGATTATTCTGTACAGTGCATTCTATCCCAAGAATGCAGAAATGTGTTAATTTTCACAACTTCATTAATAATTCTAAAAGTATAAAATAATTAGGGTCTGTCCTGAGTCCATATTGTCTGGTGGTTTTTTCATTGTTTCTGTTTTTTCTACAAAAGTCCCTGGGATATTGGGAATTTAAAAAGTAAGCCAGAATTGCTCACTCGCTGGAGTTATTAGAGATAGGGAAAATTAATATGTTTGGCTGGATTTCAGAGTTGTTTGCTTCTCATTAAGTTGAATTGTGAGAAACTTGCCTTTGAGATGGAAATTCAAGTTATGCATCTCTCAGGTCTCAAACTCTTTGAAGAAAGGCTTGATGGTTACAAGATGTGGGGTCTTTTGTATTTTTGTAAGTAAAGAAAGTGTTGTTCTTCAAGTGCTGTCCCTGTGGGTGCTCCACTCCAGATGACGATGCGTCCCAGCGCCGTTGATCGGAGATCTTCGGTAGCAATGCCTGGTCGGGACGCACGTGCTCAGCTGCTGTCTCGCGATCTCATTAGAGTCTTCCTGAGCATGCGTGTCCCACACCCCCCTCAGTTCCTTCTCAACTGTCCTCAGCTGAAGACAGGACTCAGGGCAGTGCTGAACCTCTTCTCTTCACTTCCTGTCACTGAAGGAAACAAGTACAAAGACATAGAAACAGTTAGTTAGAAACATCCCAGTTATTTCCCTTCCTTTAGAATAGTTACCTAGTTTAAAAAAAAAAAAACCTTCTTTTTCCTCCAGTTCGTCTCCCATTGAGACACTCTCCCCTGGCATTCCTAGTGGAATAATGTCAGGGTCTTCAGGATTTAAGAAATGTGCCTCCTGTCAAGTAACTTCGCTGTGTGAAGTGCCTCGGCGAGAGACACATCCCTGCCAAGTGTGTCCATTGTACCAGCCTGAAAACCAGGGCTCTTTGTGACAGGGATCTGCAACTGAAAATGTTCCTGATGGAGAAATCCCTACAGCCACCTATGGAGACGGGCAATAGCAAACCCTTTCCCTCATGCTCCCCTGCCAGGTCGGAACCGATTGGGAGCACGGCTTCACCCTCTCAAGCGAAGAGGCAGGAAGCCCAACTGTCTCTGTCCAGAGACTCTCAAAACGGTAAAGGATCTCCTGCAAGATCCTTACCCTCAGTGCTGATAGCGCCAAAGGCAGGTGCCTCCAACCATCCCAGCACCTCAGCTATGGCTCCCACAGAACACAGAGGCAGGGACCCGACTTCCCATAGCAGGAAGGTCTCCATGGCACCGGTCCCCACAGCACTGAAAATAGACCCGGTGCCGACAGCGCGTTCTACTCCTGTGCCGACAAGAATGTCGGCACCAAGCCTGCCTACCACTCCAGCAGCAGGAGCGGACCTCCCACAGGGTGCCTAAAAACAGCCTGTGGCACCGGCGAAAGCAAAACAGAAGTCAATACGGGCTTCTGAGCACATATCACGCTTAGCAGGGTCACAGCCCAGGGAGCAGCAGCAATTCTTAAATCAGGACGACATCTCAGTGGCCCCAAGCCTGATTCCCCGCTCCCTGACACACAGTGCTCACTCTTTGACCAGCCGCTCACCCCACCTGACCTGGCTACCTTCACTGACAGTGAGCCCGATGTGCAGCAGCAGGCGGAGTTCTCCCCACCTGCCTCTCCTCCTCTACCGGAACCATTTACACTTCAGGTCACGGCTCACAAGCACCAGCCTCAGTTTCCCTACTTTGCTCCCCCGTGGGCAGGACCTCACTTCTCTTATCCCATGCCTTGGCCTCAGTGGTACCCTTGGCCGGTTCCTGCTGCCACTCATCCTCATGATTCTTCCACCAGTCCACAAGCATGTTCTGCCCCCTATCAGCAGCTCCACCTACTTCTAGAGCGCCTGAATCCCCTCCCTGAAGAGGTGGACTATGAACCATACCCTGATTCACTGACTCCTAACTCTCCATCAGCTCCAGACAGAGCCCTCATGCCTCCACCTCCACAGAATATGGATGACTTTAAGCAATTCCAGGAACTTTTCAAGAAGGTGGCACTCAACCAGGACATCCCTTTAGAGGAGGTCCAGGAGACACAACACAGACTCCTCAAAATCCTCCAACCCTCTGCGCCCTCAAAGATTGTGCTCCCCGTAAATGAAGCACTCCTAGAACTAGCTGACACCCTTTGGCACACCCCAGCCTCTATCCCACCAACTTGCAAAAAGGCTGAACGTAAATACTATGTTCCTGCTAAGGACATAGACTTCTTATTTTCTCATCCACAACCAAATTCTCTTGTAGTGGATGCGGTGACACACGGGACGAAACAGCCGCAATACCAGCCCACCCCACAAGACAAGGACCTCAAACATCTTGACCTCTTGGGCCGCAAGATTTATACCTCTTCCACGTTGCAATTCAGAATTGCAAACTATTCCGCCCTACTTGCAAGCTACGACTTTGACAATTACAATAAGCTCTTTGTTTTTACCTCCCATATCCTGGAGGACAGGAGAGCAGACTTTAAGTCAGTCCTTGTTGAGGGCTAATTGGTCTCCAGGATGGCCCTACAAAGCATCTCTGGACATGGCAGACATAGCAGCCCACACTACCGCAACTGCAGTGTTTATGTGCAGATCTTCCTGGATGTCTGCATACGGTATCCCCAAAGACCTGCAAACCAAAGTGGAGGACCTCACCTTTGATAAAGATAAACTTTTTAAAAAAAAAAATGATGAAGTCCTTCACACTATGAAAGACTCTAGAGCAACCCTGCACACCCTGGGCATCTACCCGTCCCTTCCCAGGAGACAATGGTATCAACCTTATCAGAGGCCACACACACAACAATATCACCAGCCCCAGCCCAGACCATACAATATAACCAGGAATCGCACTAGACCTCCTAGACGCAGACAAAACCAGGCACAACCAGCTACCTCCCACCCATCGGGAAACAAAAAACAATTTTGAAGTGTTGGTTGAGGGTCTGCGCGACCACCCCTTGACTCCAATGCCTGTTTGGCCACCGCCTGCAGGTTTTCCACCATGCCTGGCAGCAGATCACACAGGATCGTTGAGTCCTGGAAATAATTCAGTCAGGTTACTCCATCCCTTTTATATCCTACCCTCCTACCCTTCCCTGTCCCTCTTCAGGGACCTCTCTCACGAGCACCTACTTCGCATAGAAGTGGCTCATCTTCTACATCTCACAGGAATCTGTGCCAAGACAACATCAAGGAAAAGGGTTCTATTTCCACTACTTTCTGACCCAAAAGAAGAGCGGGGGATGGAGACCTATGCTAGATCTACGCTAACTGAACAAATTTATACGTGTACAGAAATTTAAGATGGTCACACTGGGCACAATAATACCTGAGGTGGATCAAGAGGACTGGTTCACAGTCCTCAACCTACAGGATGCCTATTTTCACATATCCATTCATCCAGCACACAGACATTTCCTGCGATTCACACTCAGACACGACCATTTTCAATATAGGGTACTCCATTTCGGGCTTTCCACAGCACCGAGAATATTCTCCAAGACCCTAACGAGACATTATGAGCTACCCGTTTCGCCATCTCCCTCTTCCACAGCTTAGGTCTGTAAATAAACTTTCAAAAATCCACCCTGACACCCACACAGTGAATTGAGTTCATCAGAGCTCACCTGGACTCAATTCAAATCAGAGCCTCACTCCCACACAACAGATTCCTCGCTATTACACTTCTCATACGCATGCTATCCTTTCGTCCCAGGTTACAGGCAAGAGTTTGCCCACAGGTCCTTGGCCACACGGCAGCCACCACCTTGGTGGTCAAGTACACCAGGCTGCATATGAGATGTCTTCAGGATTGGCTCAACTCCAACTACAAACCCAGCAGACACAGCTTCTGCATGATGCTAGGTCCTCCAGCGAACATATTAGCCTCCCTACAATGGTGGACAAGACCAGAGAACCTCTGCGTGGGCGTTACCTTGCGACCCCACCCTAAATTTCTCTCTAAGGTGATGTCCACCTTCCACCTTAACTTACCTGCATTCTATCCCAAACCTCATAAGACTCCGCACGAAGCAGCTCTACATACCCTTGACATCAGACCGGGCAATCACTTTTTATCTAGACAGAACTAAACCATTTCGTAAATCCCCTCGGCTATTTGTCTACACTACAGAGAGATCGAAGGGTGTGGCTATCTCTAAGCAATGACTTTCCAAGTGGATCTCTGACTGCATTAAATCCTGTTACTGAACTCAGAATGCCCAACCACCCGAGGGCGTCAGAACTCATTCTACTAGGGCGATGTCAACATCCGTTGCCTTCCTCCATAACGTACCTATTACTGATATCTGCAAGGTGGCCACATGGACATCTGACCACACATTTACAAACATTATGCTATCACACAGGATACCACGGCAGACACCATAGTAGGCCACGCTGTACTGTTTACAGTCGTCACTGACGCAACTCCGAAGTCTCAGCAGCCATGGTGGGTACTGCTTCACATTCACCTGGAGCGGAGCACCCACAGGGACAGCACTCGAAGAAGAAGAGAAGGTTACTCACCTTGCAGTAACTGAGGTTCTTCGAGATGTGTGTCCCTGTGGGTGCTCCACTCCCCGCCCTCCTCCCCTCTACTTTGGAGTACTATTCTGACATCTCCACGGTAGAGAAGGAACTGAGGGGGGTGTGGGACACACGTGCTCAAGCAAACTCTAATGAGACTGCAAGACAGCAGCTGAGCACATGCGTCCCGACCAGGCACTGCTGGGACGCACTGTCACCTGGAGTGGAGACCCACAAGGTCACACATCTCGAAGAACCTCAGTTACTGCAAGGTGAGTAACTGTCTCTTCTACAATATCTAGTAGTGCCTTTTAAAACTATATGTATAAAGTTTGGAATTTTGTAATCTGGAATTTTGTACAGCTGACACGTCAGGTTATTTTATTGTCCTCTTGATGATTTAGCAGGCTTCTGATGTACCGTTTTGTCTAAAAGTGCTCAAACTGCCTGTAAAGGTATTAAATTTATGTTTGTGACACTTTTGGAAATATGTTTGGATGACATATCCAGTAATATATAGATTTTTATAGTTACCACATGAAAAAGTATATAAATTTCACAAGTTTATCTGGTCTAACCTAATGTTTAGTTTACATTTTTGCTAGACTCTTGTGATTGCCATTCATGATCATATGCATTTCTCAAATCATAAGCTCCAGTGAAGAATGCAGAATGTGCAATGAATAATCAATAAATACATAGACTTCTTATGAAATCTTAATAGGACATGTCATCTAGTAGTTGAGGTTTGTAGCAGCTTGTTTTGTATTACCTGCTCAACCATTTTGTTGAGTCCCTGTTTGTTTGTTTGAAGTCACAGTGAAAAACTTTACAGGACTCATAGGAGTTGTTTTGTTTGTAAACTACCAACATTGTATGGAACCAAATTCTGTTTAATTACAAAAATGCTTCAAAAATGGGTTTACATGTATGTTAAAGACAGGACCGGCCTTAGGAAAAATGGCACCCTGGGCGAACTTGTATTTTGGTGTCCCCTGCCCCATCACTCCTGGCCCCCATGGGCTCCCTGGGCTTCCCCCCCCCCCATCACCTCTGTGTCCTGCTGCCTCCCCCAGTGTTTAATTTGTATTGAAAGAGATACCAGAGGCTAGAGCTCAGCCCTGGCACTAATTAAGCACTGGCAGGTCAGCCTGATACTGGCGGGTGCTGGCTGGGCACCCAGCTCTGAAGGCAATGCCACCACCTAAATCAGCGCAGAAGTAAAGGTGGCATGGTATATGGTGTATTGCCACCTTTCTGCGCTGCTGTTGTGGCTCGTGGTGCCTGATGCTCAACATGTGGCTCAAGGCGGGCTTCATGCTGTCACATGGGGGCTGCATCTTGCCAGAGCCCATGGCCCTCCTGGCTCACCCAGGGTGCCATTTCAGATTTAAGGGGGGGCCAGGGAAGGAAAATTTAACCATGATTCCAGGGACTACTTAGGCACCTGAAAACTCTAAGGTTTTTGCAGATAATAACTTAGGAATTAGCTGACAGGAGCACTGTATCTAATTGTTATATAAAGAAAGAAAAAATATATACAAACTCCAATTAAAGCCACTTTTAAAGTTTATATGTAAATTTAGAACAATCAGGAGATAATACAGCAAGATATTCCCAATCCCAAGCCTTGAGGTATCAGTTCTAGAGCTTTAACACAGATATCAGAAACACATTTGATACTTTGTACACTATCTTTATTAGCGAAACATAAAGATAAATAAAATCTGCTTAAAATCTGTTACTGCCATTATCTACTCTATTTTAGTCAATTGTTTTTCACTAAAAACATAATTTTAACATATGTGATTAAGGGTTTTTTCCCTCTTTTATTAAGAAAGGGAATTTATTTTTCTAATTATTTTGGCATTTATGTTTACCAATCATAATCTTGTATGTGACTCACTAATATTTGACTCAATCATTGCTATTGGTATAGCATATACCAATAAGGTATAGTTGGAACTGCATTTATATATAAGGTATATAAGGTATATACCAATAAGGTATAGTTGGAACTGCATTTATTTTCATGCAAATTTTAAGTTATTTTACATCTATAACTAAAAATACAGTCTGAAAATAAGCAGCCTTCATCTGCCCAGTGTCTAAAGTTATGTATTTAGCTAATGTTTTTTAAACTGGCACTGCTAAGGTTAATACAAGCTAAAGTTACATTCTAGAACAGAGGTGGGCAAACTACCGCCCGCGGGCCATATCCGGCCCGCAGGACCATCCTGCCAGCCCCTGAGCTCCTGGCCAGGGAGGCTGACCCCTGGCCCCTCCCCCACTGTTCCCCCTCTCCGTCGCATGGGCAGAGGGGCAGCAGCGGCATGCGTTGTGGTGGTGGGGGGTTGGGTAGGGAGTCCCAGGAAGCGGTCAGGGGAATGGGGGGGTTGGATATGGCATGGGAGTCCCAGGGGGCCTGTCAGGGGGTGGGGGGGTGGATAGGGGCTGGGGGGCAGTCAGGGGACAGGCAGCAGGGAAGGTTGGATAGGGGGTGGGATGGCGGGGGTGGTTTGGGGGGGGTCCTGGGAGGGGATGGTCAGGGGTCAAGGAGAAGGTAGGGTTGGATGGGTCAGAGGTTCTGAGGGAGGCAGTCAGCGGGGCGGGAAGTGGGAGGGGGCGGATAGGGGGTAGGGGCCAGACTGTTTGGGGGCACAGCCTTCCCTACTCGGCCCTCTATACAGTTTCGTACCCCGATGTGGCCTTTGGGCCAAAAAGTTTGCCCACTCCTGTTCTAGAAGGATACTATTGTTTGATCATACCACTTTAAATAATTAATGACAAAGCACAATATGATAATACAAGTAATAATGATAATTATTCCAGCCAGGACAGGTTAGGCATTTTAGAACTCACTACTTAAAGAATTAAATGTAAGCATAAGAGAGAAATAAAATTATGAAATGCACAGACCAGTCAAAAAACTAAAATAATAGCACTTTGAAATAATAAAATTACAGAGAACATATATGCATTGCAGGAAGTACCAGCAAGTAACAACAACAACAAAAGTATGTACGGGGGGGGGGTGAGTGTGAAAGAGAGAGCGTATGTGAGCTGGGGGAGTGTGTGAGTGACTGCGCACTGCCCCTTTAAGAAAGTGACACTCACCAGCCTGAAGGAAAGCAGCTCTGTCCCTCTGTCAGTGAGCCCTGTCCACACACACACACACACACACACACACACACACACACACCTTGCTCTGTGGAAATGGGGTACATGGGCCAGGGGGGGTGCAGCATCCCCCGCCCCTGTACACCAAACAGGAAGCTCCCAGGAGCAGTTGGCCAGGGGCAGCTCCAAGGCAGGGGGCAGAGCTGCGGGGCTGCAGACACCAGCAGGGGGCGGGGCACTCCTGCTTCTGGAGGCGCCCCATTTATAACAGAGCCCTGAGCTTTCGCCCAGTTCGCCTCTATGTAAGGCTGGCCCTGGTTATAGAAACCTCTTATTATTATGTGCCTATGTTCAGATTGGTAGTGCTTACCACTGCAGATCCGGTAGTACAAACAGTCCTTATAGGGAGAGGTATGCTTGGTGTCATTGTAGCTGTCTGGTCAAGGGTTATGTGAGCACAGACATGCAGACAATGTTACTTGGTACCTAAGCCCCTCCTCAGAACATCTTCCACAACTAGTGTTCACAGGTCCTGTGAAATAGCCTCTTTGTGGATTTGGAGGCGTTCAGAATCAGAAGAGAAAACTTTCCAGGCTCCTCCCCCAAAATTGGGTTTCCTGCTGTGTCCCTACACAGAGCCATGCAGCTGGAATTTGGCTCTGAGAGATTACATCATTCTAAATAAACATCCATTATTTTCTATTTAAGAAAAGGGAAAGGAAAAAAAGAAGAAGAAAAACCAAAAGATGAAGAAGAGTTGCAAACAATGTCTAAAATCCAGCAGGAAGTAATTCTTGAAAAGGTACCATGGCTGCCACCATTTGACTCCATTTTACTGGATTACATTACGGATGCTTCCAAAACAATCCTACCATTAACTACTACCAAGGAACAGGTTGTGGCACTTGCACAGTGAGTAGTGTACTGTGTCTGAAACAAAATACAAATAAGTAGAGTTGAGTGGGAAACACTTTTTCCACTCCAGGAAAATGTTTGAGAATTTGAAAAGTTTTCCCGTCCCAAACTGGGACAAAAAGTCAAAATGTCAAATACTTTTTTTGTGAACCTGCGATGTGAAAAAAAAATTCAGTTGGGGTCAATCGAAATGTTTAGGGTCCGCGATGTCAAGATGTTTCTTTTAGATTTTGCTGTTTTTTATTTAAAACTTTTTTTACTATAATTAGCTTAAATTTATGGATATAATGTTGTATCAAGCCAAAGAAATGGAATTTTTCATTTTGAAAATGTCAAAATGAGGTCCCGCCAGGACCTTACCCCTCTGTAGAGCCCCCACAACCCAAAATGGTGCAGGGGAGCCCCCACGCCCCCACAGTCTGGGGAAACTGGAACCCAGGTGGTGCTTGCCCTCCCCCACCATGTGGCCTGGGTATGTCTACACTTAGGCCTGGTCCACACTAAAAGGTTAGGTTGACCCAACTATGTCTCTCAGGGATGTGAAAAATCCACACCCATGAGCAATGTAGTTAAACCATCCCAACCCCATTGTGTAGACAGCACTAGGTCAATAGAAGAATTCTTCCATCATCTCAGCTGCTGCCTCTTGGGGAGTTGGATTACGCAGAAACGCTATAGCAGCACAGCTGCAGCACTGCGGCTGTGATTCTGTAGCCGATTAAGTGTAGATATACCCTCAGGCAGTAAGGACTCTGACCAGACATGGGGAATTTGGGCTGTACCCAGCTGAAGGCTGGAGAGAAGACTTTTGTGTTTAGTTTTGAACTTTAAGTTAAGAAATCTGACCCTAAAGATGGCTGTTGTGAATGGACTGGAAAAACCCTGTGTAGAGTTTTTTGGGTGATCCATAAAAGGAAATTGAGATGAAGGGTTGCATGCAGGGCTGCCCTGAGACCCCCAGAGGGTGCTGTGAGGTAGCTGCTCATCTACACTGACATTTGCCACCATCACATAGTCCACTCTGCTTGTGTGTTAGACCCCTTCCCTCAACCTGTGTGTGTCTTAGGCCAGGTCTACTCTACAGACCTATATCAGTATAACTACATCGCTTAAGGGTGTGAAAAATCCACACTCCTGAGTGACGTAGCTATACAACCTAATCCCCGGTGTAGACAGTGAGTGCTATGGTGACGGGAGAGCTTCATAGCTATTGCCTCTTGGGTACGTGAATTAATTACACTGACGGAAGAAGCTTTCCCGTCAGCATAGTAGAGCTGTAAGTGAAAATAAGTCCTTATTTATTTATATTGTAAACCTTTTGGGGACGAGACTGTCTGCTACTCTGTGTGTGTACATAGCCTAGCACAGTGGGGCCCTATTCTTGATTGGTCCTTGGGCACTGCCATAATAAACATGATGATGTTTGAAGATACTATTATTATTAATACCAGTACATCACATTGCATTGCATGTTACAGGATATCAATATCAACGTGTGGCTCAATAGTTATATTGATTGCAGTGTTGTGTTTGACTGATATTAACAAGTCCAGGCTGTAATCACGGCCACACTAGGTTGAATCCTCACCTCTGAACAGTCTGCTTGCTTTTGTCTTCTTCCCAGCTTACCCTTTAGTATTTTACCAGATCCATGGCTGGTTTCTGAGGCTAGCTATCTTGGTACCAGACCCTCCTTAGTCTTGCAAGTGACCCCTCCCTTTTAATGTTGTGATATACAGTGGTCTGAGAAATGATTCTCCAGATGCTTGCAAAGTTTGACAAGACACGTATTCATCTCTGTTTATTCAGCTATGTATAAACCAGGCTCCAGCCTGAGCCCAAACATCTACACTGCAATTTTAGAGCCCTATAGCCCAAGCCCCGCAAGTCAGAGTCAGCTGACTTGGGTGTTTAATTTCAATGTAGATATATCCTATGTATGATTCTTCCTGATTGCAGTGCTCAGGGATGTCTCTGGAGGGGCAACAGACAATTGAAGACCTCCCCTTTGAGGGTCGTGCTTGTTTTAGTCTAAAACACATGAGGCTTTGTATACTCTGAATGACGCAAGAGTGGTTCTGAAGCCCATGGGCCTCTGTACTCCAGTGATGAAGAGGACAAACTATCGTCCTCAATGCCAGCCTAGACAGCAGTATTACCCCTTCCATCAGGTTGACAAATCCAAGAGGAGCAAAGGTTGCAGAGGAGAAAGCTGATGGCTTCTCCTTCCTTGGTCTCTTCATCTACACATCCCCAGGCCTCAGAGCAGCCAATTTGACACATATGTCAAGGACAGCATATTACTCAACCTGGTTCTCACTTGCTCTTTCTCTGCTTTCTGGGAAAGGTTATCCCATTTCTCACATGCCTAGGAGTCCATCACCTCAGACAAATGGGTGCTAAGCATGGTGAAATTGGGATATACCCTGCATTGCCTTTCTGTCCTTTCCTCCCATGCCCGTACCTGGTCCCTCTTCTGGGAACCCTCTCCCAAGTCTGTACTAAGACAACAAGTGCAAACCCTATGATCTTTGAGAGCCATAGAGGAGGAGCCTCTGTCTCATAGAGCCATCTGCATCAGGGCAGTGGGGATTATTCTTATTATATTCTAATACCCAAAGCCAAAGGGGATTTCAGACCCATCCTAGACTTTTGGAAGCTGACCAAATACATCAAGAAGATAATATTCTGGATGGTGTCCCTGGCTATGATTATCACCCCCTTAGATCCAATTTTCCAGTAAATGGATATAAGACTCTCTTAATGGATGGAGGAGGGAGACTGAGGTTCCAAAGGGTTGACTTACATGGCTAACGTTATTGTAAAAGTATCTCCTTTTATGCTCTTGTTCCATTGTTTTGGGACAAGGTGGGGCTGTGCTGAGCTAACAGCAATGCTGTCCTTAACTTACAGGATGCCTAATTCCATGTGGTGATCCATCCTGGCCACAGGAAATTTCTGAGGTTCATGGTAGGAAATTATCAATTCACCATCCTGCCATTCAAACCCTCATTGTCACAGAGGGTTTTAACAAGTCCATGGCAGTAGTGGTGGCCTGCCTCCATGAAAGAGACATCCACATGTATCCTTACTTGCCTCAGCCATGGGGTGGGAAGCACATCTGGGTGACCTACAGGCTCTGGACTGCCCACGACGCCAGCTTACACATAAACATACTCGATATGTGCATAATATTCTCTTTGTGTTAATGGTTCTTGCCTCACATTCAGGGCAAGACTATCCAGATACTCAGCGACAACAGGACAGTGATGTTTTATGTGAACAAGCAGGGGGCGCCAGGTCAGGCATCCTTTGTCAGTAGGCTGTCACATTGTGAAATTGGTTCATTCGGAGCTTGGTCACTCTCCGGGCATCTCATCTGAGCAGATGCTTCAACCACAAATGGTATCTCAACACAAACATTTTAGCTCGGATGTTCTGCATAGGAGGCTTCCCATTAGTGTATCTGTTCACAACTTGGCAGTACAGGAAGTGTCCCTGATTCAGTTCCAGGGCAGGTCACAGTTCCAGATCAATATCAGGCATTTTCCAAGGGACATGGACCTGCTCTATGCATACCACCAGTACCCTTGATTCCCAGGGTCTTTATCAAGCTCAAGCAAGATCATGGCAGAATGATCCTTATAGCTCCAACCTGTGCAATCGAGACAGATTTGTTAATCAGACCTCCACAAATTGCCGCCTCAAAAACTTTTGCTGTTACTGATAACAGAAGACCTCATCTAGTGCTGCACCTCACAGCACGGTTCAATGGTTAAATGCAAAAGGGATCCAGAATGTTCTCTTTAATAGTAGAAAACCTTCCCACAAAAGCTACTTACCAGACCAGTTGGAAGCATTTCGCCATCTGAACAGCCCCCCACAATGTGTTCCCAGCTCAAACTAAAATTCAAACAATTCTGGACTACTTTTTGCACCTTAAGGAGTCCACCCCATAGCTCCATTCGAGTGCATCTGCAATCTCAGCATTTCACCCTTGCATAAAGGGTAAGACTGTTTTCACTCATCCTGTGACGACCAGATTCTTGGAAGGTCGAGATAAATTGTTTCCACCTATCAGAGTCCCAAAACTTTCTTGGGATTTGAATCTGGTGTGTTCACTTTTGACCCTCCTTTTGAGCTTTTAGCATTGTGCTTGCTTCTACACCAATCAGCGAAAGTAGCCTTCTTAGTGACCATCACCTTCGGAAGGAGGAGGAGAGGACAGAATGCATTGGTCACTGATCTGCCATACAGTTTTCTACAAGGACAAGGTTCAGCTTAGACCACACCCTAAGTTTCTCTTAAAGATGGTATCTGATTTTCGCTTGAATCAGTCTATCTTCCTGCCAGTTTTCTTCCCAAAGCCACCTATTCACAAGGATGAGAGAGGGCTCCCCACCTTCAGTTTTCACTGAGTATTTTCAAAGCCCTTTCAAATTTCTTCACAGCTCTTTGTTTCTTATGCAGAGCATATGAGGTGACAACCAATCACAACTCAGAGACTCTTGAAAGATAACACATTGTTATGCAGCTGGTGATCTGCTGCCAAAGGGATAATCCCTCCTGACAAACTCACAGCACACTTGACTAGAGCATGTTCAATCTCAGCAGCATTTGTGGCACATGGCCCCATTATGGACACCTGCAGGACAGCAGCGTGGTCTTCCATTCATACATTCACCAGACGTTATGGACTGTCTGCTATATCAAAGAAAGATGCAAATGGAGACAAAGCAGTCCTACCAATGAGGCTCTGAGCCCCATCGTCTGGGATGACAGCTTGGAAGTCACCTACAGTGTAATGGACACAGAACAAGAAGAAAAAATAGTTACTCACCTTCTTGTAAATGAATTTCTTTGAGATGTGTTGCACATGGCCATTATGTGACCCACCCTCCTTTCCCAACACATCAGAGTCTCCCATCAGCTTCCAGTGGGGCAGCTCCACTCCTTATACCTTCTCTTTGGAGCATGAGGAGCTCACCGAGGGGTGCCCCCCTCCCATATGTGTACTGCTAGGGAAGGCTTTCTGGCACTAGTGCACCAGATGCACTCACATCTACCGTGCAATGGACATATACAACACATCTCAAAGAACATCAGTTACGCGAAGATGAGTAACTGGTTTTCTCATCCTTGTCCTCACTTTTTCCCTTTGAAAAGCTGGTGCAAGAAATTTCCAGATCTTGTGTTCACAGAAGGTACCTGCTCATAAACACCCTCCAGCCACTGTCTGGCACTTAGCAAAACTTTGGTTGCATGGAGTCACTTTAAAGCAAGATGCATCATTATGATATCAGAGTAATCTTTCTGTGGCTATGATAGAGAGAATTCCATTCTGAACTTTTATTCTCAGGTGCCTGTAAGTTTAGAAAAATACCTTCTGCCTGAAATTTCTCACGATTGGTTTCATACCAGAAATGAATGGTTGTGGAAAATTTTATTAAAATCTGTTCAGTTATTTTTGAAATAACTGGATATGAAGGAGGCAAAGGTAAGAGAAGGGAAGTGTTTTTCTGTTGTTAATATAACTTATTGTTTTAATTTTGTGCTTGGAAACTCAAAAAAAGATTCAATTTTCTCCATTCGAAAATTTCTCTGTTTCTATGTGTAAAATGTTTTAGTCCACAGCTTATTGTATTTTTGTTTATATCACATTTGAATAGGCATGAGCAACCAATGAAATTGCAGATTTTTTTAGCAGATTTCTCCTATGTACCCTCTGTGCATGGAAGAAGTATTCCATAAAAATGTATAAAGCCACTATCTTATCCTGTCCGCTACCTTTAAATTCTTCCTTAAAACTCACCTCTGCTGTGTCTTCAATGTACCATTGAAGTTAATAGGACTTAAGGACATGCCTAAAGTAAAACGTGTACCTAAGTGCTTTGATGAACAGGGGTGGACTTGCTGAATCAGGGCTTAATGCTTTGGTATGTGCAGTTGTCTGATAGTAGTGCACTATCACAGTAATTGCATAGGCATTTTTGACCTTGGGTTTCCTTGGTTTGGCCATTCATTTTTATACATAAATTATAAAATACAAATCAATACAATTACAAATGTTTGCCCTGGTTCAAGAAAGCAAATAAACACATGCATAACTTTAAATTTAATTGGATTGCTTTCATAAATCAATGGTCTTTAGCTGTGACCTTATTTTTCTCATTTCATATTCTAATGCCTTTGATATTGGTTACTTAAAACAAATGGTAGGGCTGAGAATTATAGTAAATAGCGCAAATGATTCTACTAACTTCGAAGATGAATCCTAGCTTCTGAATTACTTTATCATTAATTTTATGTAATTTTTGCTGGTTCTCTCTTGATAATTGGCATTATGTTGCTCACCTCCAATGATCTGCATTATCATTTTAATTTATTTAATGGTGACTTCTCGTACCAGAAACTGAACAATAAAACTAAAGCATAGATAACAAAAGTAATACACTTTTATATGTCATACAGGTATTGTTTGTATTTACGCAGCTTTGTCATTATACCATTCAGCATGATAAGTATGATAGAAATGACAGATTTAATTGATTTTGGTGTACCTTAAAACAGGTTTGTTGCAGATAAGATGGGTGGCCCAATTGAAAGAGACAAATTACATGAATTCAGCTGGGAACTTCATATAAGTGAAATTGAATTTGAACTGAAATGCAATGTTGTACCTATTGGGAAAATCAAGAAAGGGACTTTCTACCACAGGGCTTTGCTTTTCAAGGTATATTAGCATTTACTTTACCACCTAACTGATCTAAAAATACTGATGGAATTATAATTCTTTATTTTTGTTAAAGGGATAGCACAAACTACAGTATATTAGGTTCAATAGAACCTTGTTGAGTTATATTGATGTTTATTTGTGTATATATTTAAGTCATTTTTCATTTGGCAAATATTTGATTTCCTTTTGAATGAAAGCCATTATAGCTTCTTTCTGTAAACATCCTTGTTATTATAAGCATCGTTGAACTTGTCTTAAGTGATGTCAGCAGAATCCTTGATATAAGGCAAAAAGCCAAAATGTTTGATTGTGAGTCAAAATACGTTCCCTTTTCTGTAAACTGTAAAGCACTAAATTATGCAGTGCTCATTATTTTTCATGCTGCAAATGTAAAATTGTTGCAACAATAGCTTCTAAATGGTGCTCATGTGTAATACATTATGATAGGACATAGGGTCTTTCCTTACACCAGAGGTGGGCAAACTGGATGTGGCCCGCGAGACCGTCCTGCCTGACCCCTGAGCTCCTGGCCGGGGAGGCTAGCCCCCGGCCCCTCCCCTGCTGTTCCCCCTCCCTTGCAGCTACGCCGCCGCCGCGCAGGCAGTGTGGCTTGCACCCGCCCACCTCCCAGGCTTTCCAATAAGCCTGTCCTGCCGCCAGCATGAAGGAGGCGGGGTTGGATAAGGGGCAAGAGGTCTCGGGGGGCAGTCAGGGGACAGGGAACGGTTGGATGGGGCAGAGATTTGGGGGGGGCGGTCAGGAGACAGGGAGCAGGGGGGGGTTGGATGGGGTTGGAGTCCTGGGGGGGCAGTTAAGGACGGAGGTCCCAGGAGGGGGCGGTCAGGTGACAAGGAGTGGGGGGGTGGATGGGTTTGGGGTTTTGAGGGAGGCAGTCAGGGGGTGGGAAGTGGGAGGGGGTGCTTAGGGGGCGGGGGCCAGGCTGTTTGTGGAGGCACAGCCTTCCCTACCCGGCCCGCCATACCGTTTCGCATCCCCGACATGGTCCTCGGGCTGAAAAGTTTGCCCAGCCCACCTTATACAGTCACAGAACACTTTACAATGTCATGTGCTGTTGGGCAAATACTCATTTTTCCATTATGAGCTAAGTGAGTGTGCACATAAATATTTCCTACATTAACTGTAATAAAATATCTAATTGAGCAGATAAATTGTCCTGTGGAAAGTACTCTGTCATTAAATAGCAGTATCATTTATATTTAATAATTGATGTTGTATCTTACAGTGTAGAAAAGTTTAGGCTCAAATTCTGATACCAGTGAATAGCTCGTGAGTTGCACAGTTCCTTGGGGGAACAATGGGCTGGAGTAGCCTCAACATCCCCTGCCATTGGCTCCTTCTGTTATTACTACCACCCTCCCACTGAGGGAATGGCTCGTGGAATCAAACAGCCCCCCTAACAAACCTCCACCGCCTAGCCACATAATGGGTATGTCTACACTGCAACTGGGAGCGTGCCTCCCAGTCCAGGAGACAGATATGCATTAGCTTGAAGCGAGCTAGTGTGCTGAAAATAGCACTGTAGACATTGCGGAAGAGGTAGTGGCACGGACTAGCCACCCAAGTACAAGCCCACCTGACCCCCTGGGTCCGAACTCGGGTGGCTAACCTGTGCTGCGACCTATTCTACAACGTCCACACTGCTATTTTTTAGCATGCTAGCTCAAGCACAGCTAGTGTGCATCTGTTTACCGAAGCTAGGAGCACACTCCTAGCTGCAGTGTAGATATATCCACAGAATTGGGCTCTGTGGCATTCAGGATATACACCACCTGTGTGTGCCCCCCAAAAAGTACTCCTTCCTGCATAGTTAGAAATGGGAACTTTATCCTATTGCAAAAAGGAATTTCCCGGCTTTTCAGTGGATCCTACAACGCGTGCTTTGGGACCTGAAATACTTGATATTTTGGACTTCAAAAATTACCCAAAGTAGGTTTTTCATACATAATAATGTGATTTTAAAGGGTTCTACATTTTATTTTTTATATTTTTCTTTTCCCTGTGCAGTCTGTATGTGCATTTATGGTCCCAAGAGAGCCTGGCTTTACTTAATGAGGGATATGAAAAATAGTCCCAGTACAATTTTTTAAATACTTTGAAACTAGTTCTCAACCTCTTCCACACGGGACTCCCTCTCCCATATAACCAGGACCTCTCTCATTCAACAATATGGGAAGGATAAGGTGCCCCCGGGTTGAGAACACCTCTAAATGAGTACTTTTGTTTATATTTTGGCTCTTTTAAAAATATGTAGCCTAAACGAACTAAATAATGGCATGTTGTAAAGACTGTACTAGCACTTGTTTGATGGGATAATTCATGAGCAACCTGCCGGGTATACTACATTATATGTGCATCCCACAGTAGAGCAGCTTCTGCCTCCCTTCTGCTGCACCACATACATATGTGGCAGGCCACAAGATCAGAGCAACAGCTGGCTAGCGAGGGTGCAGAAAGGAGAAAGAGAGTCTCCTCGGGTAGCATTGGGCTCCCTGGTCCTTTCTCTCTTTCTCTACTTCCCTCCAAGTTGCAGAGCGAGTGTCCCAGGAAGGGAACCCAGAAGCAATATTTTTGAGGAGGAAAATGGAGGAATGAGGTAGAATAGACTAAAGCAGGCTGAGCAGCTGTGTTTTTCACAGGATTGAGGGAGGAGGAAGTGGAGCAGACAATGAGTTGCTGGTCTCTTCACAGGCTGGTAGGCTCCAATCCGTCTTCCTCCCTGCTCCATATGGAAAATGATGTGGCGCAGCCTCCCTCTTCCTCTCCTGCAAAAACTAAGGCTCTGGGGTAGCCAGGCTCCCTCTCTGTGCTCGTTGGAGGAAAGGGTCAGAGAGGAGCAGGGGCCCAGAGCAGCGTGACTGCCGACCCAGGTTCAAGACGCGCAGGTCATGAGAATCCCACTGCCATCTGGAACAAATTACAAAACTGATTTATTTCATTCACACAACGAGGAAACATCCTTTGGAAGAATTTTTATACTTAAAAAATTATAATTAGGCTTGGCAGAATTCAATTTTTATTTATAATTTCGACAAATAATATGAATGTTAATTTTGAATACTTTTTTTCAATTTTTATCAGTTTAAATATTCAGAGCTGTATGAATTTTGGACGGGGGGTTGTCTGATAATAATTACTTAAAGTAGACGTTCTTAACATTAACTTGTGGTATGAAGCATGGGGGAGGAGGGGGACTGCTCCCAATGGCCTACCTAAATGGCAGCCCTACTCCTGCTCCACTTATGCTGGCATAACAACGTGTTTTATACCTATTAAGGTGCGACTCTGATAAGTTCTCAAGCAGCATTTTTCTTTCTTTTCCTATCCACATATTTAGATTATTATCAGTGGAAATACTTTTTCATTCGTTTGTGTGGTGATATTGATGTTTGCCGACAATTACCAATGAAAATTTAATCCTCCAAGCCTAATTACAATATGTCATTATAGTGTAACGTGCAACAAAACTCAGGTGTTCCACATTTCAGTCATCTGTCACACATTGCAATGGTTTGTATCATACACTGGCCAGTCTGAATGTTGAGAGATAAGCTTATGAATGATGTTGCAATCACAAACCCATGCCGGTTAAACCTTTGTATCAAACATCATCATATGTTCCATGTTGTATACATATGCAGAGCAAACATATATATCTTTATTTGTATTGGTAAATTATCTTAAGCTGCTGTAATTCAAAAACAACTCCTCCAATATTTTCTAAATTTGTTGAAAAGACTCTGTCTTGGGACCACATGTGCCCTGTTCAGTTTGACGCCTGGAGGAGTGACTTATAACACAAAATGAGTTAGTTCTTGAAAAGACTTATAATAACTGTATATCACTGCTCCTCCACTAGAATATGGTGGAAATCACATTTTAAAAACGCAATTTCCCTCCAGGACCTACAGTGAAAACTTACTGTTTGCAGAACCCTGCAGGGAATCCAGAAAAATCTCCATTACCAAATCTCCTTTAGGAAGGCTCTGCACCTTTCAGCTGTTCTCTTGTTTAAGCATTTCCGTGGCCCAATGGTGCATTTCACAAACTAAATGTATTGTGATACCTTTCAGAAACTAGTAATGACTTTCATTAACTCCTTTTTGTTTTCTTTCATAGGTTATAGCAGACAGAATTGGCATTGGCTGTAGTTTAGTTCGTGGAGAATACGGCAGAGCTTGGAATGAAGTTAAATTAGTTGACGATTCTCCTCAAGGAATAACTGGGCTTCTGCTTCCTCCTCAAGTGTATATTTTAGATCTAATGTACCAGCCAGGCTGCTTAATGAAGCAAGGAAGTGCAGAGGCAGACCACTACCAACATATTTAATTCTAATGTCAGATCTCTTTCAAAAAGAAAATATTTTTTAAAGAGATTTCATTAATAAATTTGTATGAAACATAAAGATTTGTGGGCCAAACTTTCAAACTTTGATGCTGAAATTAAAGCACCTATTCCCACATTAAGTTGTCTAAAGAGGCACTTCGGTTTCTAAATATCCATTTTAGGTGTCTACTCTAAATCCTTGTTTGTGATCCAGAATGTGAATTTAAGCATCTCATTTTAGGTATCCGAATTTGACATCTTAGACATTTTATTTATTTTATTTGATGCTTTATTATAGAATAAAAAGTAGAAATCCGGACTGTCAATATTGGTGAGCATAATACTTGACTGTGCATTATCATTTCTCCCAGTAAATGTGTTTAAAGTATTTAAGAACTTTTCCTTTGGCTCTCTCATCTTCCATTGATGTTAATGGGAGTATACGAGGTGAGGAGAATACAAAGCCAATGAAATAATTAGACATGGTTAAACCAATTTATAATATATTTTTTGTTAAAATAAGCAGAGTACTAGGAATTGTCTTAGTCTTTGTCTACACCAGCAGTTTTGTCGGCAAAAATTTGCTGACATAAGTTTCACTGACAAAAGCTATGTCGGCGGGAGCGCGTCTCCCGCCGACATAGCTACTGCCACTCATTGGAGGTGGTTTAATTATGCCTGTGGGAGGCTTGGCTGATTGTCAACAAAGTGCTTCCATCAATAACCAGGGTCATCAGCATGTTGAATGCATGCTTTGGAGAGATATGATGAGAGGTTGTATTTGCATTCATGACTACTGATGAAATGAGACACTACCATTCCTCCCGCACCCTCTGCCCCAACTCTACAGACATGTGGTGTGATTTCCTGGTGGGCTGTTTGGTAACGTTTTCTCTTCTTTGGTTGTAAACAGAAACAAAATGCAAGTCATTTGAAGTAAAAAATGAAAAATACTTTAGCAAACACGTTTGACAGGTAGACACTATTTGACAAGTAAACCCTCAGCAAAACAAACAACTTTGTACACTGCAGACTTTGACAAGATTTCTATCAAAAATGTCATTTGTGTGCAGTTGTTTTGGAGGCAGATTTTCTGTTGTGCGTTTAGTTTTATATGAACTGAATTCTGTTGCTTGAAAACTATAAATCACCAGGAAGAAATGCCCTTGGCTAGCAAAAATTGACAACAAATCACGTGCATGTTCAAAGTTGACTCAACATCAACAGGGTACATGAAGTTCCATAGAAGCATTCAGGGTGAATTTTACATTGAGCTTTTCCTTTACAGTGTTTAATTAAATATAACTCTCTGGATATTTGAAAAAATAAATCATTGCTTTCTCTTGACTATGTAGACATTCTTCCACCTAGGTCGTCAAGCCAGTCAGTCATCGACTGCCTTGGCTGCTGGAATCCGTACAATTCACAAATGCAGGTTCAGTGATGTAGCCTTCATATATAGAGTCCATAGATAGTATGTGGAATAGAAATGAGATATGAATGGAAAAAATAATCCAAAATTCAGAAGGTGGAGAGTAGTCCACAGTACTTAGTATCTTGGGGGTGTCAGAGACACATAAGATATAGAACTCCTTCAGCTTGTGCAGAGTGAAGAAGAGGCCATGGCTAACGCTATGATTTTTTCACGGAAGTCATGGAATACATGACTTCCAGCGACCTCCATGCATTCAGCCCTCTTGGTTGGGAGCTGCAGGGTCCCCCTGCTGCAGAAGGGGGACCCCACAGCTCCCCATGGCTGTGCTTGCCGGGGGGCCCCTGGAGTTCCCCGCCACCACGGGCAGTGGGACTACAGCTCCTGGCCACCACGGGCACCAGGGGCCCCCCACAGCTCCCAGTGGACACGGGCAGTGTGGGACCCTTGGATCTCCAAGCCACCATAGGTGGCTGGGGCCCCCACAGCTCCCATCCACGGCAGGGGGCAGGGGACCCGGGAGCTCTAAGCTGGGGTACCCTGGAGGTCCAAGCCCCCACAGGTGGTGGGGTCCCCAGAGCTCGGAGTGGCCCCTGCAGCTGCCCAACCTCTGCAGGCAGTGTGGGGGGACCCCACAGCTGGGCTCCCCATTTTGTCACGGATATCTTTAGTAAAATTCAGTGACAGGTCACAGGCTTCCATTAATTTTTCTTTATTGCTTGTGACCTGTCCCTAACTTTTACTAAAAATATCCATGACAAAATCTTATCCTTAGCCATGGCTAATGGCTGGGCCACTATTGAAATAGAAGACAAAGCTTTTGCTAGAGCCATGTCCCTCTGTGACACCAGTCAAACATTTGCAAGTCAACAAATATCCTGGCCAATCAAAATGTCAGTAAATTTAATAGGAGATATTAACCTCCTTTCCTAAATTAAAGGGCCCGTTTTGGCCTCTTGAAAAATTTCTGTTGAGAAGGATGATTTTAACAACTCAAGTAATTAACAAAAATCTGTCTCCAGCCCTGATTTTCATCCGAATAAACATTTTACTTTGTTTGTAGCAAAGTGGAAATAAATCAGGATTGGGACCATGAGAAAGAAGTGTCATTCTGGGACACAACACAAAGTCACACATACACAAATCTTCTATTCATTTTTACTGTAAGGAATTTTGTTTTAGATTTAGATGTGGAAAATATATGTTCAATATGGAATACAGCCACATATGGTGAGAAATTAGACTGTACTGATAGGAGCTGGGATGTGATCCACAACTCTAACTGATTCGAGTAGTCAAAGTAGTACACTGAAGTCCATGGCTGCACATGTTCGTATGGGTTGCAGTGGTGCTGTTTGACTGTAAATTGTGAAATGTTGCTCCATGCTTACAAGTTCTTATGCTAGTGGAAAGGCCCATTAAAGTCAATGGTGTTCTCTGTGGGTAGTTCAAGGTTTTTCAGCTGTGGGATTGTGGCTCAGAGCCAGCTCTGGATTAGTTAACATTGTAATAATGCATTGGCATGGGAAATGCAGTCTTGGTAGCTGCTTATCACTGGATGCGGAACATTTGCACTTTGGATAGGCTGGCTTTTGGTGATGAATGTGATGTCTTTTGAAAGGTAATATGGCAATTGAATCCTCTGGTTTTTCCCTAGAGCAGGTGCAGAGAATGTACAATTTACTCCAAGCAGCAGTGCAAACAGGCCCACATGGGCCCACTGATATCTTTCACCCAGATCTGGAGAAACATTCAGGATAACTGATGTGTGTTTTATCTTTGTGTGACCAGGGAACAGCTGCTATACAAATGATAGAGTTAACACTTTTCAAGTAGTCTCTAATTCAGGGGTGGGCAAACTTTTTGGGCTGAGGGCCACATCTGGGTAGGAAAATTGTATGCAGGGCTGGGGCAGGGGGTTGGGGTGCGGGAGGGAGGGAGTGCAGGGTGTGGGAGGGGGTGTGGTGTGCAGGAACGGGCTCAGGGCAAGGGATTGGGGCAGAGGAGGGGTGCGGGGTTTATGAGGGGGCTCAGGGCAGGGAGTTGGGGTGCAGGAGAGGTGCAAGGGTTCAGGCAGGGAGTTGGCGGGCGGGGTGCAGGAGGGGTTCGGGCTCCAGGGTGGCAGCGGCATGCACGGGGCCAGGGCAGGCTTCCTGCCTGCCTGCCTGCCCTGGCCCCACTCTACGCTGCTCTGGGAAGCAGCTGGCACCACGTCCCTGTGCTGCCCCTGGGGGCAGGGGGGGCACAGGGCTCTACACGCTGCCCTTGCCACACCTCCAGGTACCTCCCCCAGAGCTCCCATTGGCCACGGTTCCCTGTTCCCGGCCAATGGGAGCTGGGGGCGGGGGCGGTGCCTGGAGGCAAGGGCAACGCACAGAGCCCTCTGCCCACCCTCCTCCCGAGGCCCCAGGGACATGGTGCCAGCTGCTTCTGAGAGCGGCACGGGCCTGTGGCACCACGGGGGGCAATCCCGCGGGCCAGATCCAAAGCCCTGAGGGGCCAGATCTGGCCCGCAGGCCATAGTTTGCCCACCCCTGCTCTAATCATAGGAGTAATAACATACTATGGCAATGACTGAAGTGTGACAATATGGCACTCTCCCAAGTTGTGTATTCACTTGCATCTCTTTATATTGCTGGTTATTGATACATCTAAAGAAGTCTCAGGCTTAAGATATTCCAGTTAATTTTATGTTCTTTTCCTTTTATTGCTCTAGTCCCTGTTCCCTCTACCCCGAAGAGATCTTTCTGAGTCTCTCTCAGACAGTAGCATATGTTTCAGCATGAGTGAATTCATCTAATCACAGTTCTCCACTCAGTCAGTACAGCAGGCATTCCATGTACCATACAAACACACTTGCACCGTTTTTATTTTTCTGATTTGTGACTCTAGCTCTTGACACTTCCAGGATTTCGTCTCTTCTTGCTGTTTTTATTGATGATGTAAGCTGAGTCAGGATGAGCTCCACCCTGACATCCGGTGGTGAGTTGTGGCAAGTTGTGGAAAAGAACTTCAGGGGCTGATCTCATTGGCATAGGCACACCCACCCCGCCTAGCATGAGCCCATAGCTGCCCAAATGGTTACTTTGGCTGCTGTGGGATCCCCAGTTTCTCTGTTATTGTGGCAGGAAGAATTAATTGTTATTATCCTGATTATGTGAATCAAGGACCATGGAACTGTACTTGGCCTTTTGTTATGATGGAGGGACTTGCCATCAACTAAGTAGCACTCGCTAGGCAAGGGACATGGGTTCTAAAACACAGTGAATTGAGAGAGGTTGGGGATAGGTATTACTATGTGGTGGTGGTGGTGGTGGTGGTGGTATGGACCTTTGGTGAGGGCCTTATATGCTAATTGCACCTCCTTCTTCCTCCACTGTAGAATGTCAGAGCTAATTTTGATTCCATTAGGAGTTTAGTTACAGGCTGCTGAGCTGAATTCACTTTAGGCCAATGGTGCACCAGCACTGAGGCTCCCCTATTACAAGCTGAACTCACAAAAGAGCTGGAAATCACTGAGTGCTGTGTTAGGTAGTGGGGGAGCCTGAAGATATATTGCAGAGCAGTTTGTGGGATGGCTGGAGCAGCTCATGCGTGGGGGCTGGTAGAGCAGAGCAATTTGTGGGACGGCTGGTAGAGTGGAGCGGAGCCCCATTGAGAGCTGGAGCAATCGGCTTTGGACCACATAAGGTGCCCCTTAACCCTCCCATTTCCACCCAAGTTGGGAGGTAAAACACTGCAGATAAATTTTCGAACTCTGGGGCTGCACTGACCAGGGACAGAGACTTTGGGTTGTTGGATTTTTGGAACTTTGTGTGACTTTTGGGTTGCTGGACTCAAGAACCAAAGGGAAAGGACATGGCCCAATTTGCTTGGGATGGGTTTTGCTCATGG